CCCCTCGTTTACCGAAAGATCTCATGGAGGTCGAGTGTCCGTCAGTTATTGCATGAAATGGTCTGGTAGTATGCAGGAGTTCTTAGCGTCTCGCTATGAATTGCTCAGCGTTGCATCACTTTTGCGTGAAATGCAGTATGTGGAAGCGAGGGAGCCATCAAGTTGACTTGACTTGATGGCGACACTATTGGATGTCTGATGCACTGCAAGAAGATGAAGGCCTCCCGTTGAAATATCATACTTACACGATGAGTCGAGTAACAAGTTCACCGACATGAACCATATCCATTTTCGTTTACTCACTATGCCCTCCGAGAGTAGTGTTCTGTAAAAACCACTACTATCACTCAAAGTTCGGACCGATTTGCATGCTCCAGAGTTTATTCAGCTTGCACGTATCCGTCAGAAGCTCAGTATCTGGCGCTATCGTGCCCGCGTAGTCTTTTGGCACCATAAACGTGACCTCCGAATGAAAAGGATCGTCCTTACAGAAAGCTTCCCGAAGGGCGTCAAAACGTTTATCATCCGGTATCCACATATCGTCATTTCGGTGGCCACCCGGTCATTCGGTAGTGTCAATGACCACATTGGCGACTGCTCCTGGAGGAGCGACGTTGATTAGACATAATGGTTCGATCTCTGGGCTCGTATATAGAAACGCACCATGTTGAGCTCTTGGATCCGTCCCCTCCTCGATCACCTCAAACGCATAAAACGTGTACGACGTCGTCGGCTGACCCCATCGCTCCTTGTGGTCCCGTCTCAGATACTCAAGACATTTCTCATGAATAACCCAGCTGCTCAAGTTGCCAGGCAGAAGAACGCCCTTAATGCCTCGGAATGAGTCAAATGCGCGTAGTGGTAAAAGAGCTGTTAGGCCTCGGCCAGCCTTGGGGATGTTCGAGTCAATGACCTGAAGGTGTTGCTCCCTGAGGTCCTTGACAGCCCGTTCGTAATATGCTGGGTATTCTTTGAGGAGCTTGGATGCCCCGACGTCGTCAGGTAGCTCAGTTGCAGTCTTCCATGCAGCGACGTACTGGTGATCGTCTTGCCCACGCCGACCGCCCAGGCGATCCCATGAACCTCACCAACCAGCGGCCCGGCTCGGCCCTTCGCGCGGCGGAGAAGCGCAAGAGGGACCTGTATGCCGTCGCCTGTGCGCGGGGAGGGCACACGTTTTTGCCTTTGGCCTTCGAGTCGTATGGACGCTGGTCTTCGACTATGGAGACCTTTTTGCACAAGCTAGGCAAGGCAGTGAAGGAAGCTCACTATAGGGACGACAGGGATTTCTCGACGGGCCGTGTCGTGGCCCGATGGTGGGCCCTCTTGTCGTGTGCAGTCAGGCGTGAGTGTGCTCTGACTGTGCGCGGCAAGAGTGAGGCCGCCGCGCCATTCATCCGCCCCTTCCCCAGAGACGAGGTCTGGGGGAGGGGCCCCTACTCACCCCACTAGGTCTTTTGCTCGCCACACTGTGACTTCCAGGTACCTGTGTGTGGGTGTGTGCGCGTGTGGGTGTGGGTGCGGGTGTGCATGTGAGCTATTGGTATTCCTGTGAGGGCGTGTGGCGTGGGGTGGGTGTGCCGGCATGGCGTTCGGTCGCGTCTGGTCTGTGTGTGTGTCTTGCCGCCCTTGTGGTTTTCCCTGCGGTGATGTGTGCATGGGCGTGCTCTGTGGGAGTCTACGAGTCGGCCGCCTGCCGCCCCTCTCCGCCGTGGAGACTGGGACGGCGATGCGCTCGACTCTCATGCACCCTCATCTCCCCGTGCGTGGTTGTGTTAAGGGCGTATTTGTGTGTGACTGGTCGATCTGCACTGGCTGGCCACCTGGGGACGGGCGGTACGTACGTATGGAGCCATGGTGCAGCAGCACGCACGCACGCCGCCTTCAGTCCGCTGGGGTGGCGTGTATGCGTCGTTATGTGCCTGCTCGTATGTGGCCGTCGTTCGCAGCGCATTGCATATCTACCAGTTTGCTCCCTCTGCCCTCTGCGTGCTGCGTGTTGCGTGTCTCTGTTGCATGTTGGGGTGCGTATCTGCACGTCGCAGCGTGCTGGGGGGTAAGGTCCGGATGGGGGATGACGGGTCGATGGTATAGAAAGTTGCGGGCAAGCATAAGCGTTCAGAATCACCACACAATGGCCGGGCCATTCATCCTCGCCGTCGTGAAACCCTTAGGTGATCGACCTGGGAAAAACAGAAATCGACAAGGAAGCACCGTAGCCACATTCTGAGAGTACCATCATGCGCAACTCGTCGCGCTGCATCACATGGTGCTCTCAGATTCTCTCCACGACCTCACCTTCAAGAGATTTCCTCAAGTGACCATCTAAGGGAAGTCACAGCACGCCACAGACAGCTCCGCCCACCTCGCCGCCGGGCACACACGACAGCCTTTGGCCGCCGCTTTCACTCTCTCGCCCGATTGACTCACCCTCAGCACCTGCATCAACCGCTGCGGAGGCAACAAGATCTCCCGCAACACTTATCGCCCCCTCTGAGTCCACCTTCAGCAGATCTCTGCTCGCCTGATGACCACCGTGACGCCAACTCGATGCTGCACAAGGTGAACCACACAAGGAAGTCAATCACGACAGTCAATCGCTCTCAATTTCCCTCTTTTTTCTGTCGCAGGTCTTCCACGTCAAGTTTCTCGTCGTTATCCTTGGTTGAGGGCGCCGCTGCTTCACCCAACTGAAGCACTCACTGCACACCATCATTCCAGGTACACACACAAGGAGGGGGAGGCATCCAACACAGACAGACACACATATACATATCCTCTTGTGGATGGATGGATGGATTGATCGACGGATGGATGGATGTGTACAGGTCGTTGGGCGTCTGCGCACTCGCCAGCTGCCGATGGACTGTCCTGCCGCAGGGACTCGCACTGCCAAGGGCAACCCGCCGCCCATGTCGTGGCGAAACGGGCCAGCTCGACTTCAGGATAGCAATCCAGCCGCTCCAGCGTCAAGGGAGGCCCTCAATCTCATTCCCGCCGGCGGCCCTCACCTTCCGAGGCTCTCCCTCGGCAGGCCGTCATTCACCACCGATGGCAGTGGTCTCCTTGCCCACGGATGGGGCGGCGTGCTGGATGACGACATGCTGGAGAACGACATCTTCCGCCTGAACCAGCGCGTTTTCTCTGCCCTCGCCTCACTTGACGACTCCATCTACCGCACCCTCGGCGAGATCAAGCTCAAGCCATCGAGCCTCTGCCTTATCGTCAAATCGAAGACCTGCGATGGTCTGAGGGCGGAGGGACGCGTCAAGAGGGTGACGGGGATCTGTGACCGGCAGACGGCTGTCCAGATGGTCGAGATGGAGGTAAGATATATGTCCAATCACCTTCCCTCCGTGTGTCTAATGTCTTTCCCTTTGTGTGTGTGCGTGTGTTTGCAGAACCAGATGGTCATTGACGACCAGTGGCTCAAGATCGCCCCCCTCCGCGCCACTGCTGTCCTCGAGGCAGTCTTCTCCTACAAGACGACCACCTACGTCAATCACGCTGATGGAGACAAGGAAGAAGAGGATGATGAGGACGTCGCTGCTGACGGAGATGACGAACCGGTCGAGGAAGATGAGGATGACGATGCGCAGGGCGAGCATGAGCTGGCTCGCTTCATGCAGGAAGGTTTCGCTGTGCATGGGGGGCGGGCTCTGTGCTGAAGCAATCAATCATCCCATAGCTGTCGCCGTACCGATGATATGATTGAAACGATCGCATCGTGGATGATTGACTGTATTCCGTGAATGAGATTTGCATCAAGTAGGAAAGACGAAATGTTCACTCATTCACTCAATCACGGGCGATAAATGAGTCACTCAATGATGCGATGAGTGAGCCAAACTAACTCGCCACGCAATGATGAGAGGCATTGCCAGAGAAACAAGCAATGAGTCAACTGATGATGAGACGAGGAGGCACATATCCATCATCAGTCTTGATCCACTTGCTCCATCTCTTGGCTTTGTTGACCCATCCTTCCATCTCTCTCGCAGACGCCATGTCACGCCACGGCACGATCGGCACATCAGGAATGTCGTCGTTCTCGTACTCGTCGTGAGGCAGCATATGTGTGGTGGTCGTCTGGCGGCATGTCAGGATGTGTCGATGCAGCGGGCTGACGGAGGCCAGCACGTGCGTCTCCAAGCTGATGGTCGAACAGCTGGTGGCTGAGCTCGCCCGTGAAGTCTCCATGACGGCCGCCGCCTCTCGTCGTGTGCATCTCCTCAATCAGATGAGTGAAGTGGTTGAGCGCCTCATGCGAGTTCATGAGCGCCCTCAGCAAGCCGTACGGCGGAATGCGAGGGTCATTCTTGCAGAGGGTGAAAAAGAAGGGCGCATGGCACTCCAGCTGGTGAAGTGAGAGAGTGTACCGCCTCTGCCACTTAGCCAGATAGGGACAAGGCCGTATGGCGAGTGGAGGCTGAAGGCCGGATGGGTGCGCCCCGAGTAGGTGATGGCCTACCGACATGCAGACAAACACAGGCATGGCTCCCCGTGCGCCTCTGCATAGGTCTATCACTCACATGATGGTTGCGACGCATCCTCATGAGCTCGTGTCCATCGGCAGAGATCACAAAAACACCCACGACATCTGTGTAAGAGCATCATCTGTGTAAGAGCACCAGCCACCCACATGTGATACCAATGATGTGTATCATTCATATGAGTCTGCCTACCAGGCGTCGTCCAGTGTGGAAGGGCATATACGTGTGTGAGCACCTCGCTCTTGTGGTTGATGAGATACTCAACCCAGTCAGCCGCGTCGAGATGCAGGTCGCCGAAGTGCTGGGTGGACTCGCGCTTTCTCCGCCACAGCTTCAGGTGCGGCCGTGGGTGCTCGGCTGGCTCGAATGTGTCGTCCTCTGGGTCGATCGGGCACGTCACCAGTGGCGGCATATACTCGCGCTTGGCTGCAGCGATGCTCTCCTTGCCAGGTATGATGTTTGGCTTCCGTCAGTCACGGAACCATCTGCCGGTGTTGGGGTTGAGTGTGTTGCAGACGACGTTGCGCTGGAAACTCATCTTGGACCAGCTGGCGTGCATTCGACGCTGAATTGCCCGCCAGACAGACGAGGACGCTCTTGAGGATTCTGGTCCTCAGCGACATCAGATACAAGGCCAGCAGCGCGCCACCGACTCTTTGTTGTCCGCCGCTGTCATGCTGGCCCGCTGGTGTCGTTCCTCATCCTGGTCGAAGTCGTCATGATCATCGGGGTCTGGTGCAGGTGCGGGTGCTGCTGGTGCTGCTGCTGTGTCCTCTGGCTCATCATCGTGCTGCTTGCGTCGCTTCGGTTGATTTCGGAGAGCCATGCGTCCACGAGGCGGCAGCTGGCGAGTGCGCAGACGCCCAACGACCTGTACACATCCATCCATCCGTCGATCAATCCATCCATCCATCCACAAGAGGATATGTATATGTGTGTCTGTCTGTGTTGGATGCCTCCCCCTCCTTGTGTGTGTACCTGGAATGATGGTGTGCAGTGAGTGCTTCAGTTGGGTGAAGCAGCGGCGCCCTCAACCAAGGATAACGACGAGAAACTTGACGTGGAAGACCTGCGACAGAAAAAAGAGGGAAATTGAGAGCGATTGACTGTCGTGATTGA